TATATATCTGTATGTCCTCGACTATACGTGTGTGATCTTGTTAGTGTTGAAGTATTAGCTTGTTATTTCTGAAGTATTGTGCTGTCTTATCGAAATCTCAACAAGAGATATGTATAAGCTAATAATTGCAATATTGAGTGAGTTTCCGCTTTTCACCATACCCACACGACCCAATAGTGACTTCACTCCGAAATACCAACAGAAGTCATGTAGCACCGTTTACACGGATGAAGCGGTAAATATGAGCAAAGTTACTTTATATTCCAAATCCAAGCGCAACCTACTGATGGACTTGAGCGATGGCCCAATTCAGTCCACCCTACTAGGATCCCGGGACATTTTGGACCCTTTTTTATTCAGAAGGTCGATATTCCAGAAATCGCCATCGGTCAGCGCAAAATTCCAAATATCAAAGTCAATTTGTTGGTGCTTGATGTTCATCACGGTGGGAATGACAATCAGTCCCTTCTGCATGGCCCACCTCAGCACAATCTAAAGCCAAGCATGAGAAGATGTTATAATTATAAACTCTTGAGATGACCAAATGAGGTGTTCAACATGATGCTGGTGGACTCATGAATACACGAACCCATGGATGGGTGACTCATCCAGTCATTCTCATATGACTAGGTACGGATGGGTGTACCATCCAGTCTTTATCAAATGATTAGGTCGCAACGATTGGTGATTTGCCAAGCAGCTTCTGCTTAATAGTTAATGCTGAGGTGTTGCCGCCAGACTGTAACGATTTCAGTTTGTGAACGCTATTTTCCAATTCATTGGGTCCGCAAAACCACTGATCGAGCCCATTCAACAGGTGTGGTGTTGGTGGAGGGGTAGGCCAATAATACAAATTATATAAAACCTCGCACAAAAAACCAGAGTCACCTGACGAGCCCACGTGCTGTGTGTGCGATCACAGAGCCAGATATGTATCTATGAAAGGAGGCTACGAAGAAATGTATGCACAGGACCAAAAAAGGGACACTCAGGGCTTAATGAACCATATGCATTAGTAACGCATAATACTAACCAGCACACACGACCAATTAAGGGACACTCAGGGCTTAATGAACCGCATGCATAAGCAACGCATACTACTAACCAGCACACACAGAACCAACACGTATGACTACACACCCCTGGCAGCCACCCACACAATAACTCTGACCAAAGTGTTACCACCAAAATGTTACCTGTGCTGCATTGATGCCATAGAGTGCGGCGCATCGGAAGACCTGGGCGTTGGTGAGAGCTACTCCCTGCGCTAACGGCGTATGGGCAATCAACAAAATCCCATTCCTAACAGCAGACGATACAGCCGACGAGTGGACAGGGCCAGAGGGTGGAGATATAGTCATACGTGAGTGTTATGTAATGTTCATCGCAGGTGAGTTGTGTGTGTCATGTAATGTTCAAGACAGGGATAAAGTCATACGTGTGTGATATGTAATGTTAAAACAAGCGGAGTTGTAGGGTAGACATCGACAGGTGTGAAGGCATCTTAACAGTGCGATCGAATGGAGTGTATGTGCACAGACGGAGACAATTCCACGTATACTTGTGATTAAAATCACAGCAGCCAATGGTTCAGCTCGACATCCTTAGCAGTAATCCCAACGGACCAATGTGTTGAATAAGATCACACACACACACACACAAACACACACCAACATGAGTACAAAACACACACACACACACACACACACACACACCAACATGAGTACAACACACACACACACACACACCAACATGAGTACAAAACACACACACACACACACCAACTTGAGTACAAAACACACATACACCCACACCAGCATGAGTACAAAACACACCAACATGAGTACAAAACAAACACACCCTCACACCAACATGATTACAAAACACACACACTCACACCAACATGAGTACAAAACACATACACACACACAACAACATGAGTACAAAACACACACACACCCACACCAACAAGCGTACAAAACACACACACACACACACACACACACACACCAACATGAGTACAAAACACACAAAAAACACACACACACACCAACATGAGTACAAAACAAACACACACACACACACCAACATGAGTACAAAAAACGAGGCACATTCTTACTGCTGGATGGGCGATATTCCGATCTAAAAACTGGCAACGCAAGCACACACACAGGCACACACACAGGAATATAAGCATACATGGAGAAAGATCACATGGTCATGGAGAGAGAGATCACATGATGAACTAACATACACAGGCACACACAGAGGTTTATGAGCATACATGGAGAAAGATCACATGTTGAACTAACATACACAGACACACACAGAGGGTTATGAGCAGGAGAGAGAGATCCCATGATGAACTAGCATACACAGGCACACACAGAGGGTTATAAGATGGAGAGAGAGATCCCATGATAACTAACATACACAGACACACACAGAGGGTTATAAGCATACATGGAGAGAGAGATCACATGGTGAACTAACATACACAGGCACACACAGAGGGTCATAAGCATACA